ATTGGGGTGGAAGAAGTCACCCCATGGCGCCATTTCACCCATAAAATTTTAGCTCTCTTGGTGTAATTCAAGATTATTTTCTTTAAATCAACACTGCACTACATTATATATTGTCAATATGTAAAATATATTTCAAAATGACCAATAATTTGATTGGAAACACAGAAAAAAAGCATTAATGTTGAAGAGAGTCTCAAGCAAGATGTTACCTCCAGTGAAAACAGAGAGAGACTAACTCCTGTTTGCTGTGTTAAGAGGCTGGATGCTGCGCATTAAACTAGTCACTTTACCTTCAATTATGTTCAATAATTGTTAAAATGACTAAAAAATTGAATATTAAACTTTTAAAATTATTGAATAGTATAAACTTCTTGATATTTACTAAAATAGTAAGGAATTTAAGCCCTAGAACCGATTAATGTATTGGCGGACTGATACTAAAGCTGGTTGCCCGGTCAGTGCAAGCGAAAACATGTTGAGGTCGGTTCGTAAGAACTTCGTTAACGAATTTTTTTCGTTAACCGAATTGAAGATCCTTATGGAAGGCAGTTCGTTAATCGAAATTACGTTAACCGAGGTGTTAAACGAGGGGCCACTGTATATATATATATATATATATATATATATATATATATATATATATATATATATATATATATATATATATATATATATATATATATATATATATATATATATATATATATATATATACAGGACCTCGGTTAACAACTCAATCGCTCCAGAAGGTCGTTCGTTAACCGAAAAGTTCGTTAACCGAAACCATTGTTTCAATGGGTTTTTGGGTAATTGGTTCCAGCTCACCAAAAATTTCCTAAATTCAACAAAAATGGTAAAAAAGTTCACTTACTTTGAGGTGTGTATGTAGAAGGCTCCTGGATGATGATGATGATGATGGGAATTACAATGGGGGTGGAGGAGAAGGAAGAAGAGAAGGCATTGGGGTGGAAGAGAAGTCACCCCATGGCACCATTTCACCCATAAATTTTTAGTTCTCTTGGTGTATTTCAAGATTATTTTCTTTAAATCAACACTGTACTGCATTATATATTGTCAATATGTAAAATATATTTCAAAATGACCAATAATTTGCTTGGAAACACAGAAAAAAGCATTTAGTTGAAGAGAGTCTCAAGCAAGATGTTACCTCCAGTGAAAACAGAGAGACTAACGCCTGTTTGCTGTGTTAAGAGGCTGGATGCTGCGCTTTAAACTAGTCACTTTACCTTCAATTATGTTCAATAATTGTCAAAACGACAAAAAAATTGAATATTAAACTTTTAAAATTATTGAATAGTATAAACTTCTTGATATTTACTAAAATAGTTAGGAATTTAAGCCCTAGAACCGATTAATGTATTGGCGGACTGATACTAAAGCTGGTTGCCCGGCCAGTGCAAGCAAAAACATGTTGAGGTCGGTTCGTAAGAAATTCGTTAACCGAATTTTTGTTCGTTAACCGAATTGAAGATCCTTATGGAAGGCAGTTCGTTAACCGAAATTTCGTTAACCGAGGCGTTCGTTAAACGAGGGGTCACTGTATATATACACTGTATATATATATATATATATATATATATATATATATATATATATATATATATATATATATATATATATATATATATATATATATATATATATATATATAATCAACGACCTCACCAGCAAGGAATCGAACCCTCGACCTACTGGGTGTGACTAGGGAACGCTGGTGAGGTCGTTGATTATATGTTCAAAGTCCGCGTGTTATATGGACTAAAAATGAAGTATATATATGTACCTCGCGTTTCATACCAGCTGGATTCGGTAAAATGCTACTGACACCACATAAGAGGCACGGGCAGTTTCCCATTGAGGTTCACAGCGCCATCAGCTCGATGAACAGGCTTTGTGTGAAATATAACAGTCTAGAACTGCTTTTAGTGTCCTTGTGGCCTAGCCGGTAAGCGTTCCCTAGTCACACCCAGTAGGTCGAGGGTTCGATTCCTTGCTGGTGAGGTCGTTGATTATATGTTTAAAGTCCGCGTGTTATATGGACTAAAAATGAAGTATATATATATATATATATATATATATATATATATATATATATATATATATATATATATATATATATATATATATATATATATATATATATACACACACAGTAGTACCCCGCTTAACGCGGTCAATAAAACCCACAGGGTACCGTGTTAAGTGAAAACCGCGCTAAGTGAACAACAGAACATATGGGATTAACTCCAATAGAAACTGGCCCGACCCCCAAACTCCACTTTTTGACGACATATAACTATGTTGTAGTAAAAATTTTATCTTAACTTTATGATGGTATGAACAAACAAGTAATATAGAAGAGGTTAGGTTAGGAAAAATAAAGGTTAAGTTAGGAAAAATAAAGGTTAGGTTAGGAAAATTAAAAGTTTGGTGTAACACTTACGTTAGTAGAAGACACACTGCGCAACCTTACAGCGCGGCTTGCCCAGGCGGAGGGAGGCGGGAGGGAGGGAGAAGGAGGGAGAGGCAAGAGCAGGCGGGTGGCGGGTGGGGCGAATCTAAAAATAGCGTCTCGAGCCGGACACTCACCGCGTATACGTGGAAAAAACCCGCGTTAAGTGAAAGTTCGGCTCTGGCGAGGCACTGCGTATACGGTAAAACGCGCTAAGCGAAACCGCGTTAAGCTGGGTATTACTGTATATATCTTGATAAAATCACACGGGAAAAGGGAAACAACGGAGCACCTTAGCTTTCGTCTTTATTCAAGACATCTGCAGATGTCTTGAATAAAGACGAAAGCTAAGGTGCTCCGTTGTTTCCCTTTTCCCGTGTGATTTTATCAAGATTTATCTTATCCACGTTTTCATTGTGGATCTACATGAAATATATATATATATATATATATATATATATATATATATATATATATATATATATATATATATATATATATATATATATATATATATATACATATATATATATATATATATATATATATATATATATATATATATATATATATATATATATATATATATATATATATATATATATATATATATATATATATATATATATATATATATATATATATATATATATATATATATATATATATATATATATATATACAGTTGTACCCCACTTAACGCGGTCAATTGAACCCAGAGGGTCCCGCGTTAAGTGAAATCCGCGTTAAGTGAACAACAGAACATATGGGATTAATTCCAATAGAAACCGGCCCGACCCCCAAACTCCACTTTTTGAAGGCACATACCTATGTTGTAGTAAAAATAACATCTTAATTTTATGATGGTACATGCACACAATTAATACTTAAGAGAAATAGAGAAATACAGTCGCCAAGTTAATGTCCATTCAAATAATGGACTCAACTCCCTCCCCCTCTCACACTACACAGCCGGCTAACAGATGGTCGGTCGGTCCCTCCCTCCCCCCCCCACCCCCCACCAACCGTCCCAAGGAGATGTGTGGGATAACCTCAAACTAAAGTTAGGAAAATATAATTGACATTGCTGGATTCCTTGTAAGACCAGGAATATTTTGAATATAAATGTCATATATTTTGGACAAAAGATAACATAGTTACCTAGAGAAAAATTTTTATCTAAAAATTGTAAGTTTAAAGCAAAATATATGATGTTTATATTCAAAATGATCACCAAATTATAAGAATTCCAGCAATGTAAATTATATTCTGACCGGGTAATTTGTATGAATTTTATGAGCTAAAACAAATATCTTCAGTTAATAAAAAAAAATAATAATTCTTCACACGGTAACAGATGGTCGGTTGGTCCCTCCCTCCCCCCCACCAACCGTCCCAAGGAGATGTGTGGGATAACCACTAAATTTTAATAAATAATACCTCAAACTAAAGTTAGGATAATATAATTGACATTGCTGGATTCCTTGTAAGACCAGGAATATTTTGAATATAAATGTCATATATTTTGCACAAAAGATACCATAGTTACCTAGAGAAAAATTTTATCTAAAAATTGTAAGTTTAAAGCAAAATATATGATGTTTATATTCAAAATGATCACCAAATTATAAGAATTCCAGCAATGTAAATTATATTCTGGCCTGGTAATTTGTATGAATTTTATGAGCTAAAACAGGCAGTCAGGCAGGGTGGCGGGTGGGGCAAATCTAAAAATAGCGTCTCGGACACTCACCGCGTATATGTGGAAAAAACCCGCGTTAAGTGAAAGTTCAGCTTTGGCAAGGCACCGCGTATATGCGAAAACACGTTAAGTGAAAGCGCGTTAAGCGGGGTAAAACTGTATATATATATATATATATATACACAGTACAGTCTTTCCTCGACTTATGACATATTCGACGGCCATGGTTGTATAAAATATTTTTCATATTACGTGTTTTCGAGTCCCGATGTTAGTGATCGCGCTGTGTACCGACATAATTTTTGTTTGTAATTCCCTTTAAAATGACTGGAAGCGTAAAAGTGAGAGTTCTCGTGGTGCTACAAAGAAAAAAAGACACCCATTTTAGAATTTTTATGTATTATTCTTGCCTTTACGACTTACTACCAATTTAACTTATGACCAGATTGTCGGGACGGAACCCCGTCGTAAGTCGAGGAGAGATTGTATATATGGCAACCTGTGGTGTTTAGAGATGATGTATCAAGTGACCTGTGGTGTAGTGGTCAGCCTGCTTACCTCGCAAATGAGTGGAATCTGGGTTCTATCCTTGGGTAGGGTGAAACTATGAGCAAGTTTCTTCATGCCATTTGCCTCTGTCTACCCAGCAGTAATTGGAAACCTGGATATTAATCAATTTGAGGATTATGTTCTGGGTGTGTGGTTGCTGAGTTGGCAACAACAACTATATTTTAAGCAAATTAAGGCCGAGGTGACTCTGAGGCCAATCAGCCTCTAACATGGACAGGAAAATGGATAAGATTTCATCAAAATGAAAAGTCCAGATAGAAACATATTCTTTATTCTTCTACATTATGGTCTGCAGCTGACCAAAGTGACCATCTTGTTTGATACATTCTCGGTAAATAAAAGAAGACTAATCAATGTTACTATCAAATCATCCACGGTCAGATAGATGTGACTTCCTGCAGATAACTTTCATAAAGCCAAGAAGAGTTAAAATTTGTATTAAGGTCACTCGTGATGTGTTAACTAGTCTCACCTATGAACAGTCCAACAGAATATGTTAGAAACACTAATCGAATTAGATATGAACATTGTAACAACAAAAAATTGGATAATCATTTGAATAACCTAGAGACTGTGTGGATGCTGCTTCAAAAAGCACTAAAAAAAAGGGGGGGGGGGGAAGACTAAAAGATGACCAAAGGAAAGTTTGTTTTCGAGAGACCTTGGGTAGCAAGCAAATGTCTGCTGGTGCACGGAGGCTTAAATGGGGATGGCCATCTCTCAGAAGGGCCTCTTTTTCGTGTGTGTGTGGAGGGGTGGGAGGGAGGGAGTTCTGGTTATAGTGTCGAGTAACAAAAGCGAAGCAGATGAAAAGTTGGACAAACAGGAGTAGAGCCTATGTTTAAAATACTGCACTGTTTAGTAAGTAAGAGTTTCAACAGCATCTCACAGCAGCATTCAAATGTGAAAAGGTGAGCTGTGCCATGAAAAAATAGAATGCTCTCTAAATCACGAGTAATTTACAATATCTTTTATAATAAAAGGCATACAAAATTTACAGCTGTGTAATGATACATAACTGAAACAGCATATCAAACCTGCACCATTTTTTTATCATTGTTAAATATATATTTCTTAAAATTCAGTATAATTTTAACAGGTTCCAAGTTTTCAGCAGCATGAGGTTGGTTCTCCTGTCCACCTTTACTTTTCTTTTTTCCACCTGTGAGTTTTTGTAAGGCAGCTTTGGTAGTATCCTGTAAACCATTAGTGACCCTCACCTTCAGCTTGCCACTTTGTCCAAATGTTCCATCAATGGTACCTTCCTCCCCTGTTGACAGCTTCACCTTCAGACCAATGAACAGCTGAGTGTTGGTATCTTTCTTCAACAAATTTTTTACAATCACTTCATTGTCACCAGCCAGCCTTTCAATGACACCCTCCTTACTCTTGCTTTTGTAAACCTTAACTTTCTGAAGTTGAGTATCATGATAGTTCTTGTCTGTGAAAATTTCAAGTAGATTACCTCTGAATGCTAAGCGACACATATTAGTGTGGACATCCATATCCAGCTTTGAACCAATCAGTACAGAATTAGGGACTACCTGTACTGCCTTTTCAAATTCCAAAAGTGCAAATTGTTGACTTGGTTTGTAACTAGCATCATCATCAAGCTTTTTTAAATTAAACAACTCCTGTTGGTATTTATATGTATGGTCATACATAAATCTGTCCTTGATATCTAATATATCTTCAGTTCCAAAGAATGTTACTCTGGCCATAACTGTTTCATGACCAAGACTTACATGAAACTTTGACTTTGTTTCAACTGGCAGCTTATAATAAGAAATCTTCACCACTTCAGCAAGAACACCAAAAGCTGTTTGTATAAACCCTGGTGATCCAACTACACCTCGCTCTAACTGTTTAGGATCAAACTGTGTCACACATATGCCAACTCTGTCTCCTTGTGACACTTTTTCTACTGGTTGTCGAAACATCTGCATCGATTTGACTTTCTTTGAAACCTTAAGGCTTGGAATTTCAATACTGTCATTTATGGCAACACTCCCTTGAAGCACTGTTCCGGTCATGACGGTGCCCTGGCCTCTTATACTAAAACAGTGGTCAACAGCATACAATAATGAACCTCCAGTTTCTCTGTTGGGCACATATGAAAACTTTTGCATTGAGTCCATAAGATCTTTCAAACCTAAGGGCTCAACATCAGGTGCATCTGGGCCTCCTGGTTTGGCTGCTACCACAATTACTTTTGCATGGCCGAATTTTGTCTGCTGCAAAGTGAGTAGAATCTTTTTTGTAATTTTCTCAATGACTGACTTTTGCTTTTCAGGGGCAATTAAATCCACTTTGTTTAAAACCACTAAGAGATGATCACACAATATTTCACCAATCACCAAGCATTCTGCAGTCTGAGTTTGGATTCCTTTTGTAATGTCAACAACAAGCATCATAGCATCAATAATTTGAGCTCCTCCAATAATGGTCCTGATCAATGATGCATGGCCTGGACAGTCCACTAATGTAAACTGGAGCTTTTCATATCCTAATTCCTTAATGTGATCTGGAGCATCTATAACAAAGGAGCTGAAACCAAGATCAATGGTGATGCCTCGTTCCTTTGACTGTGGATTTTTGTCAAAGCAAGCAGTGCTGGCCACAGTGCTAAGAGCTTTGGCCAAGGAGGTTTTGCCACTGTCCACATGTCCCAATACTCCTATGTTGAAATTTAAGTTTCTGCTCTCCATCATGTCATGTTACAATGCAGTTCCTGGAAAGAAAGTCATACTTTAAGATACTGCATTAGCAAGATTGAAGATTGATCCCAAAATCATTTTTTAAAAATGAGCTGGAATTGAACAATGTGTACAACCATAAAGTTTAGGGGGTTGAGACTGAAATCTAAAAATGCATAAAATTTAGAATAAAACCTTCTCTCCCCTTCACACCTGATTACAAAGGAGATATTTGGCAAGAAGGTACCCACAGGGGAAAGAGCAAAGATACTGTATTTTGGTGTCAAGCATAAACACATACACTAACCTGCTATGTTTAGGTCAATTAGAAAATAATACAACTGGATCAACACAACAGTTCCAGCACATTTCAGCAACCCAAAAGGGAGGAGGATAGCTGCTAGATCCCAACTTGATTATATAATGGATTACAGTATTATCCTGCTTTATGCGTTTTTTTTTATGCGTTTCTACGTTTATGCGGTACCCCGCCAGAACCGGAATGTTCACTTTACGCGGTGCATCTACTCTTTTACGCGGAGAGCAGCTGGCGGTCATCTCGCGCCGCGCCATTTTTGGATTCAAACCTCCCGCCATGTTGGGTAAGCGGCGCGAGTAGGTTGCGCAGTGTATGTCTTTGTTGCATTATCGGTGACGTCATATGACGTATCGGACTGTGATTGGGCCAAGCATCCTTACCTCCCTCCCCGCTAGCTGTGATTGGTTTAATGTAATATGACGTGCCCTGCCGCGGGAGCGATGAAGCCCGTTGACCCACCAGCGTCAGTTACACCCCTCCCGGCTACACCGTGTATATCGATATCCATTGTTCCATAAGAATGGCTGCCACCGGACCACCACCACCACAAAGAAACCTTGCATTACCTGGACCCAGCCGCCCCAAGCCAAAGAAGATACGACGTGCCCTAAGCTACGAGGTGAAGTACAAGATCATGCACGAGTTGGAGAAAGGAACAAGACAGGTTGATTTGGCGCGCCAGCATGGTGTGAACGAATCAACGATCCGGACAATCAAGAAGGATGCAGCCAAGATAAAAGAACACATGAACATCACAAAGTCTACAGGTGCTTCTATGATCAAGTATTGCCACAACAAGGTGCTTCTCCAGACGGAGAAGTTACTTGTGAGCTACTTGATTCGTCAGGCAAGACGGAACATGGCGGTCGACACGCGGTCAGTTCAGGAGTGCGCACGTGAACTGCACGCAGCAGTGTCACGTAAGATGATAATTGCAGAGCCCAAACCCTTCAATGCTTCCTCTGGGTGGTTGCAGAGGTTTAAGAAGAGGAACAAGATCACCAACATTAACATTGGTGGTGAAGAAGCTAGTGCTGACCGTGTTGCAGCTAGGATTTTCCTCCGTTTTTACGTGAGATTATGGAGGAAAGACAGTACACCGACGACCAGGTGTTCAACATGGATGAATCCGGTCTCTTTTGGAAAAAGCTACCTTCCAAGACCTTCGTTGAGAAGAGTGCCAGCAAGTGTCGGGGCTGGAAGTTGCAGAAGGAGCGCATCACCGTCCTCTTTACCACCAATGTCTCCGGTTCCTATAAACTCAAGTTATCGGTGATCCACACAGCCCGCAAGCCACACGCCTACAAGAACATGGACATGACCAAGCTAAATGTCCACTGGCTGACCGCACATAAGGTGTGGGTGTTCTCTACTCTGTCCCTCTCCTGGTTTGATGACCGTTTCGTTCCCGACGTGAAGAAATTCTGTGAGCAACAGAATGTTCCATTCAAGATTTTGTTGCTGCCTGACAACGCAACAGGACACTCGCCCCTACTGTTAGATCGTCACCCCAACGTAAAAGTGGTCTTCTTTCCTCCCAACACTACGTCATTAATACAGCCCATGGACCAAGAATTGATCTGTAATGTGAAAGCTGCATTCTCTGCAAAGAAATTTAAGCTCCTGAACGACTACACCAACACCAAGGATGAGTTGAGTAACCTGGGTGACACCGATAGCAAGAGCGAAGACGACGAGGAACAACAGTTTGCAGAGAAAATTCAACGTCAAGAAAGCTGTGGACTTCTTGGTGGAGGCATGGGATCAGCTGTCTGTAGCAACGGTTCGTCACGCATGGAGACATGTGTTGCAAGGTATTCCAGGTGGGAGGCAGAGTAAATCTGTGACTGGTGAGGTTCAGACTGTTGCAGTAGCAGTGGACCTTGCCAGAGAAGCTGCGCAGAGTGTTACAGCTGCAGGCTTCTCCGAGACCACCAATGATGACATCCTGGAGGTGATAAGGGGTCCTGATGTGACTGCCGACGAGATGCTAGATGATGATGACATCAGTGAAGAGGCAGGTCGTGCGTCATCCCGAGAAGAACGCAAGTTATTGCATAGTAATGTAAGGGGTGCCATCCAGTGTATTGAGAAACTCAAGCTCCTCCTTTCCGACGACCCTGACGATAACCGGTATGAAGTCTTCACTACCCAGCTGTTGCAGACTATGGAGCCCTACATCAAGGTGTATCACGACAACATCAACACTAGCCGTCAGCAAAGCATTACCGAGTTCTTCGCCCACAACCCACCACAGCCAGCCCAAGCCAGTGACAGAGACAGTGATGGTGACTTTGAGGGATTTGTCAGGGAAGCACTAATAAGTGTGGATGACAGTGATGAAGACTCACCTGAGGGCCAGTAGCCTGCCCTCTACCTCGGAACCAGCCTCCATTTCCGTACGCCGACCCATCTCTTCTACTAACGTAAGTGTTAACCCTAACCTTGTTTTTTTCTAACCTAACCTACAGTACATTATTCTCTTATTGATTGTTCCCTTCGATATTATGTGCGTGTGCATACCATCATAAAGTTAAGATGTTATTTTTACTAAAACGTATGTATTGTGTCGGGAAAAAGTGGAGTTTGGGGGTCGGCCCGGTCTCTATTTCAATTAATCCCATATGTTATGTTGTTCACTTTACGTGGGCCGCCGTGGGTTCAATTGACCGCATAAAGTGAGGGTTCACTGTGTGTGTGCATATATATATATATATATATATATATATATATATATATATATATATATATATATATATATATATATATATATATATATATATATATATATATATATATATATATATATATATATAGTAAAGTAAAAGTCCAAAAATCCGGATGCCAAAAATCCGGACCTCCCGAGAATCCGGACTTTTGGAAAACTTAATTATTATTATTTTTTTTTAGAGGGCTTTTGTGTGTATGTGCGCATGCGTGAGCGCCACAGCTGCACAGCGACAACAAGCGACCACGTGGTCTCCACTTTAAAACTAGCAATCAAACTGTGACAACATACGGTATATACTCATCTATAAACCCCCCCCTCGTTTATCTGTCGCCCTGATTTTTTGACCAAGAAATCGTTAATTTATGATATTCCTCGTTTATAGTTCGACCCACGTTTCTGAGGGTAAGCGAACAACAAAACCTTCAGTAAAAACGCTCTACGTCCTATAAACTGAAACACGAGTGCCGAAGGCAAATTGTTTACCACTTATTATTACGACACTTTACACTGAAACGCGGGTAGTTTCAACAAAAATATTGTATATTTCCATTCAAGTATTTATTCAAGTCAATTAGGAGGGAATATTATTGTAATACAACAGTTTTTTAACTAAACCATTCGAAAAGTGATTACGGTAACATCTTTTGAACGAAAGAAAGCGAAAGTCATTGTTTTCGTCACGATTTTATCCCACTTTCCACTGTAATACGTACGTCATTTCAGCAAAAATATTACATTTCCGTGAATGTATTATATCAAGCACAGTATGAATAGAATATCATTGTAATATAACAGAATTTTAACCGAAAACTATTAAAAAAACGAGTAACATCTCAAGAACATCGGAAGCTTAGGTAAAGTCTTTTGTTTTCGACATGTATTTTATCCTATTTTACATTGAAATACATCACGTTTCAGCAAAACTACTATTTATTTCCGAGAATATATTCATTCAGGCGCAGTTTAGGTAAAATATACGTGTGATGTAATAGTTTTTTAACTGAAAACGATTCGAAAAACACGTACCCTCTAGCCCTGTTCAAGGAGAGGACTGGGAGAAGCTGTTTGGTGCTGCAGACGATGACAAAGAAAATGATTTTGATGGATTTTAATGAAAATATTCAGAAATATGGTATCGTAGTATTTATTCAAGTCAATTAGGATAGAATATTATTGTAATACAGTACAACAGTTTTTTAACTAAACCATTCGAAAAGCGATTACGGTAACATCTTTTGAACGAAAGAAAGCGAAAGTCATTGTTTTCGTCACGATTTGATCCCACTTTCCACTGTAATACGTACGTCATTTTAGCAAAACTATTACATTTTCGTGAATGCATTATATCAAGCACAGTATGAATAGAATACCATTGTAATATAACAATATTTACAGATTACTGTACAAGCCCATAATAATGGCTCCTAAAGTAGATAAACTTTGAAATTGAGTGACAAACTTGAAATAATTAAGAAACTAGTACGTGGTGTGAGCAATACTGTTCTAATGGAAACATACAACATTGGAAAGTCTACAATTTATGATACAAAAACGGCAAAGAATAAAATTCTAGAATTCACAGCTTATTCATTAAAACTGCTCGTTTTGATAAATGAAGCATGCTATATTTGCTAATGAATAAACTATCAAAATGTACCTGTTCATCTCTTCTTTATTCCTCCTTAAATTTGAATTTTAAAAGTACTGCCTGAGAATCCGGAAAATCCGAAAATCCGGACCAACCCAATCCCCAAGCAGTCCGGATTTTTGGACTTCTACTATATATATATACCGTATATACTCGTCTATAACCCCCCTTCGTATACAGTATAGGTTGACCCCGATTTTTTGACCAAGAAATCGTTAATTTATGATATTCCTCGTTTATAAATTAGGCCAAGGTTTCTGCTTCTTAATTTTCTCCAGAAATATGACAAGTTTCTTATATAATAACAATACAATGTTACTTGCATTTCTTTAATTTCATAAGGCGTATTCATTTTAAAAATACAGAAGACACCAAACAA